TTTTGCAAGTCAGAGATAGTTGCTTGCTGCTGCTGTGTGTATACTTCTGAGATTGAAGACATCTGGTTTCCATCTCTCATACCAAACTGTGGCAATGAGCATAGGATTGTTTGGTGATGGGAAACAAATCTGGGACTGTTCCCCACTTTCTTCCCATCGTCTTTCGCATATTGCTCTTGTAGACAAAAGATAAGCAAGTTAGCCAGTGTGGTGGGCAGGCACCGGACTGGGACTCGGGACCTGGGTTCTAGTCCCCGCTCAGCCATGGAATCCACTGGGTAAATTTGGGCCAGTCACAGACTCTCCGCCCAACCAACCTCACAGGGTTGTTGTTGTGAAAAGATTGAGAGGAGGAGAATTATGTCAGCCACCTTGAGTTCTTTGGAAGGAAAAAAAGCATGGGGTATAAATATGATAACTAACTAAATAAAATGCCTACTCTGGCCCACACTGAAGCACTTGATGCAAGTGCCCCCCCATCATAAAAGATTATGTGTCTTATTAGTGCAAACTTAATGAAACTGAAGGTGCAGAAAGAAACATACAAACCTGTTAACTGCCTGGTTTTTAATGTGTTTTTACTCTGTTAGTATGTTTTGCATTGTAAGCTGCCTAGGAAGGCCTCGGCATTTATAGGTGGCCTATAAATATATGTATGTAAGTAAGTAAGTAAGTAAATAAATAAATGCTGTTATTGCCTGTGCCCTCTAAGCACCAGGTTCACCCAAGGCTCCAACCGAGGCTGAATTGCCTGCTTTGCACCTGTGGCCAAAGTTTTCTGCTCCCTCACAGAGGTTTCAGTTGTCCTTTCCATACTGCACACAGGGCCTGCTTCAGACGAAGCTTTTCTGTATCTCCTCGTGTTGCATTCCTTCCCTTTATAAGGACAGGATACAAGTTCTTGCTCAACCATGCCTGTGGACTCCAGCACCCTGTTCCCTGCCTGTTCCATGAGGAATATGATGCCTCTTAGGAGCCTGCAAGCAGGAGACGAGGCCCTCTCCTCCTGCCGTTGTCCAGCAAGTGGCATGCAGAGGCCGGCTGCCTCCGATCCTGGAGGTGGTCCAGAATCACCCTTACTAGTAGCCATTGACAGACTTCTCTTCAGCTGGCTTCTAAAACCTTCTTCTCTAGTGGACCTCATCCAATCCTGTGATGAATGTCTCTGGATATCTGTACTGTTTGAAAATTTGCTTCCTTTTCCTGTCCTATATCTCCCATGATTCAGCTTCATTGGATGACCCTGGAGCCTATTAATAGGAGACCAGAAGCTTGCTTCCAGCCACTTTCCCACAACATGCAGAATTTTATATACCTTTCCTGTGCCTCTTGTGTCCTCCTCCCTCACTCTTCTTGCCTTTTCTCCTAAACTCTGGTCCCAAATGTTGGGACCTTTCCTTGATGGGCAATCTCAAAATAATTTTGATAGCCCCTTTTCTGAACTTTCTCCACCTCTACTATCTCTTTGTGAAGATGTGGCCACCAGAACGGTCTGCAGATTTCCATGTGTTAAATGAACAAGAGACAACCAGGAAAAAACATGTAGTAAACCTAGCCTTAAGAAAGGAGGAGAGCATATGTTTTGCCCACAGAGATGAGTGTGTGATAAATACTTCAGCCAAACAGACACTTCTCTGCCAAGCAGTATCATGCATACCCTGCAGACACAGGCTGTGGAGGTGAACGTGCTGGAAAGACTACCAGCTGGTGTCAACTCTAAGGGTATTTTCTTTGTTTATCTTTTAGGACATTCATGCACTGGAAATCAAATTCAGTTACAGCAGTGGTGGAGAGAATGAGCAGCCCTCTGTACATTGCGGAGCAATGGCCATGACCTGAAAAAAATGCCCTTGACCTGTATTGACTGTGAGGGACAAGGAGCTGCCAAGACCTACTTAAGCACTGGCTCACACTTGCTGCCTTCGAGAGATCTTGAGATCATTTATCCCAGTGATGGCTTTTCGTTAGCTGCAACATCTGTTTCAAGGATTTCTGGCAATGAGAAGCAATTGTAAACAGATGAATCCCTCTTTGGATGTTTACATGCACATGGGGTAGCCATATGTCCTCTTTTATAGAAGTCTTTCCTTTGAAAGTAGCCAGAGGACATCTATATTTGAACCCATATCCTGTTTATTGAATTGATTTGTATTATATTTATAGCCCACCTTCCCCCCATTGCGGAACTCAAGGTGGCTACAGGGGGTCTCCCCTCCAAGCAACAAGCCAGCCCCAGACATGCTTAGCTTCAACATGGTGGATGACTTATGTGCCTTCGGACCATACTCATTTTCAATGAAGAACCATTAGAACTGTTGCCCATCGATGGGTAGCACCTGAACAGCAGAGCAAACAGGTGACAGGCTTCGCAGATGGGCTGTGTTTGTATTTCTAAGGGAAGGATGATTTTTACAGTCTAAATACAAATTCCAAATGTTCTGCAAACTGCTACATTCTTTAGTCCTCCCTTCTTGGCGATTCACAAGTGGCCAACCTACATGAATAACATTTTTGGAATCCCTTCCTTGATTGTCAAGATCCTCAGCAATGGCCTAACCAAACAAAGGAAGGAGAAACAGCTTCTCAGTTACAGTTGCTGGAAGGGATGAACATACTCCATTTGGGGAATGGTGAGGGAAATTATCTTTAATAAGAAGGCAAGCACCTTGAAGATGCTGTTTAGGCTAAATGAATATGATTCACACAGTTCCATTAGAACATACGTATTGAATTTTAGTTTTAGTATTATCTGATTGCTGTTCAAAATTAATGTCAAAGCTAAGAACATGCCAGGAGAATTCATCCAACACAGAGTTAGAGGTAGAACTGGGAAAGTGGTATGGCAAATAAATAGTTCAGACAATACTATATATGAGAAGCTTTCTTTCCACAATGATACATGAGCCAAGAACAGTGGGTGTGTTTCTCCTAAATGTTGAAAATGGAAAGCATGCACAGCAAAGGAGCTTTTTTCTATTAAATTGGTGGAGGGGGTGTTATAGAGCCTTTACAATCATTGTCAGTTGAGTAGTGGAAGGAACAGCTTGGCAGGGATTTTGATGCCTGGTCAAGGAAGGGGCAACACTCTTACTGAACTTTATACTTCAGGTGAAGGCTCATTTGTTTTCCTGCTGGGGCCCTGCTTCTTGACCCATAAGAAACCACAGCTCTTCATTCCAAACACACCAAAAAAAACCAGGCAGGGTACATCCCTACATCATAGAATGGATAACCCCGTTTTGTGCCTGTTCTGCACTCTGCTGGAAGGCAGTGTCAGGGGTATAAACTGAATTCAAAATACTATTTTTAATGACCCAGTTCTCACATCACAGTTAATTGTGAATTGTTAAGTCCGTGTTGAGCTGCAGTGTCCATAGGCAACATTTTGAATATTCAACCACAAGTGAGAGTTGCCATGTTGTATGAACCTGGGCACCAACGCTTATTGGACGGTTAAACAATGCTCACAAAAAACCTAGGATTATGCATTAGTTGTTTAGTCCTCAAATACCTCTTGGTGGCTGAGTTCACACAACACAACTACCCCTGAGTTGGGCTTGCATATTCAAAGTTATTCCCACACACACCATGGGTTATCTTTGGTTGAAGAACCACCAGGGAGTTTGCCATGAACCAGGTCACTGTATTTTATCACACTTTTATGCTGCCTTTTTATGCTTGGCATAGCAAGCTTTGTACAAGGCAACCCTATGCATGCTTTTTGAGATGCTCCACTGGTTTGGGTGTTGCTCCAAATTGCCATTCTAAAGTCTCTTGCTGTCTATGATTGCAAAAAGATCCAAGAGCTCTTCCAACTATGTGATCCTTACCCTGAGATCCCCGTTAGTAGAACTACCAGCCTGGGTGCCTTCTGGTTGCCTATGCTGAGACATGGATTATTGTGTTGTCTGAACCCCACCATGGTAATAACCATGGCAAACCACTGACAGTTCATAACCCAACAACAACCCATGAATGCTTTTCACGGGCTGTTTGTGATTAACAAGCGATGGCTTCTTAGTGCAGCTGAGTTCAGACAAGATAATGCACATTTCAGCAACAACCCACAGTTCAACAGAAACCTACACTCATTCCATATTAGCCCTTGAGAGTAGGTTATCATATCACATGAACCTAGTCACTGTGTATAATAGAGAGTCACCACTGGCCAGGAATAGAGGATCTGCTTGTGTGTAGAAGATTCCCAATTTGATCAGTGGCATCTCTGGTGAAAAAGGATTCAATAACTGATGATGGGATCAGAGAGGAACTCTGTCTGAGGCTCTGGAAAGCAGCTGCCTGTTAGGGTGTACAATACTGGCTTCCATACAAATAGCCTCACTTGGTTTTTTAAAAAAAGTTGCTTTCCTGTGTTCTCCAACTGTATTTATTCTATTCATCAGCCATCCAACAATAACAGCTCTCCAGGCAGATATTATTCAAAATATCAAACCAAAGTAAAAATGCATTAAAGCAGCCAATGTAACTAAAAAGAAATCACGAAACAGATTTCAAAGCAGAGATGCCAGCATTAGAGCAACAATTCATATTTATTTCATGTGTTTATTTGTAGTATCTATATACTGGTAAGCATAATAAAATATCCAAGCAGAATTCATTCATTTCGGTATAGAGAGACAAAGGAAAAAATATCACAGAGATAAACAGTCACCCAAAAACAAGATACAGAGCTTTACTTCAGAGTATTAAAAAGTGTAAGTCATTGAGGTGATACCAGAATAAATGAAATATTTAATAGTCCAGTCCCAATTTCATTCTCCCCATCCACTTTTTTATTTGCTATTTTGCTAGAGTAATTCTTGAAAAAGTGTAATTTCCAGTTGCCCACCCTCCCTTTTGTTGCATTTTTCAAATAGGTGCCCAGCTAAGTTTACTTGAGATTCGAAATGAAGCAAGTGCAAGAAACATCAGCCCTCCTAGGTGACAGAGAAGGGTGGGAGGAGGGGTCATTTTAAAGCACTCCACAGCGCAGAATCCAGCCTCTCATACCCACAGTGGCAGCTGGGTCACGCTAGAAACTTCAGTTGCTAGGACTTCCCAGGTGAAATCGGAACTTCCATTTCCCCCTGTATTTTCTCAGTCTTTTCAAGAGATATTCTTGTAGACATTTGTGCTGGGCAGCCCTGGGAAGGCTCTTTCCTGAGAAGGGTAAGGCTATTCTAATCCTGTTCATATTGATATTCTTATCTCTGTTAGTGTTCCTAGGTTCTGGGATGGGGGGTGGGGGGGTGTCTTTTGACATTAATTACCTGCAGGCTATAAAATCTACATAACTGATTATAGCTATGAAAAGCCATGGGAAAATCAAAGCTAACTTATAGCTAAGTATTTCTTTTTAGGGAATGTTTCCTTGTACAGTTCCTGCAGTTAAACTTGATGGACAATTTATTTAAAGGAAACTCATCTCATTAACCCCAAGAACATCAGGTACTAGGATTTCATGGCAGCAGCGTTTTGCCATGAGCGTATTTTGATTTATAGAAACATAATGAAAGATAGATCTAAAATATGATTAAATCAATATTCTACAAACTAAACAGTAAACCCTTCAGCAGAATCTTCAGTACTCTTGGTTAACAATAGTCCAGTTAAATAAATGTGCCAAAATAAAGGCAATCTGCTTTTTTTTATCTTCCAAACATCCCTGAAACTAGCAAAGAGAGAGAGTTAAGCATCCAGATTATGTTAAGGTTTCTCAGCCGGTAACAACGAAATCAGCTGAACTTTTCATAACAGAGAGGGAAAGTTGTTGCAAATGTATACCTAGAAAGAAAGGAAAAGAATTAAATCCCAAAGAAAGAAATGCACTTTAAAGTGTGTCTTAAAATGGCTTTCAGGCCAGGGAACAGGCTATTCTTGGAAATGACTCTGATAGGCTTCAACAGATGCACGCTCAAGGAATGTGGCTGGGGAGGGCAAAAGGGGAAGCGAGCAGCTGACCCAACACTTTGGCAGAGCACCGTCCTCGGATCGCAGCTCCTGGCATGCGGTGCCACTGACGCTCCTGATGCGCACGCGGCCCCCCCACTTGCCCCGCACGGGGTCGTCGCCTAGCGGGAGGGGGCTGTGCTTCGCAGAGAAGGCACCCACCAGGCCTCGCTCTGCTGGAAATGCTGAAAGAGCATGTTTCAGAACGCCACTTCACCGAGGATGCAGGAAAGCAGCAACTGCGTGATGTGCTGTTTTATGGTCAGTGATATCCCGGCGTATTTTTAACGTTTGGCCCCATGCCTGCGTGGGGCACATGGGTGCTTCTTTGTGAGTGCAGGTGCACTCATATTATCTGCTCACTCAAGTCCTTCAGTTTAAGAGATTGCATTTTAAATTAAACCTATTTAATAGGCGCTAGCACTAATGCAAATTGTGCTGTGCGAGTGCAAGGTACCCAGTGCAACAGCTGGGATAATAGGTTTTCTGGGGGATCCAATGGAGCCAGCTAATGCTGTTGGCATTGCTCCAGAGGTCCCTTAAGCTAGTGCAACATAATTTACATTAATGCTCATGTCCAAGTGGATAGTGCCCAATACGTTTATTCAATGTCTACTTTACCCTTCTGCCAAGGGACCCAAAAGTATTTCCTTCCCTCCCACATTTTATCCTCACTATCACTCTGTGAGGCAGCCTGGGCTGGGAGAGGGTGCTTGTCCTGTGGTCATCCACGGAGCCACATGGCTGACCAGGGGTTGGAACCCAAGTTCCAGCCCAACTCTTCAAGCTCTGCATCCAGTGAGCCAAGTGCTTCACTCCATTATTGCTCCTCTGCTACTCAAAGATGAGAGGCTGATGTGGACAGCAGGGTCTGCAAAGCTGAGCTCCCACTGTTGGCCTAAAGAGAGAAGGTGACTGCTTTTTGAGCAAAGTTCCACAAACTCTTGGTTATGTGGCAGAGCGTGCAACTGGGAGCTTGGTGCATATTCAGGGTGAAAGCTGGAATCAGAGTCTGGTTTGATGAAACCAGAATGCACAAATATACTGCACTTTGGAGACAGTTAGAAAGTAGGCTCGTTTATAGTAACTTAATCTGGTGATTTCAATGTGAGTTGGGTGCAAATAGATCAGTTCAACCACAACCATTCTCCCCAGCCACAACCATTCTATTGTATAGGCATACACACGGACGTAAGGTCTGCAGATGTGAAAAATGAAGACCGTCCGATTCCACCGAATGGACGTGGAACATGTGCCTCATTTGGCACCATCCCATGTGGCTCTTGCCACGGGCTAATGCCAGGGAGCATTGCTTCTAATGAGGGAAAGAGTTACCTGAACCCATTCTTCATTATTCCTAGTTGTTATTACTTAAAAAAGAAAAGAAACCCTTTTTCATATAAAACACGTAAAAGGCTACAGTGGGCCTGTTCTACCCAATTCAGTAGAAGAAAGGTCTGTAAAGGAACAGACATGGCCACAGGTGTCAACATCTTGTATTATTTTGAAATTTTATTTGCTGCTTTTCCAACATTGGTGGCATTCAAGGTGGCTAATCAAATATAATGAATGTAATAAAACAGCAGATAAAAATCAAAGGGCATATCATAGCACATAATGGAGGAGCCATAAAGCAAGCAGCATAAAAACAGCAACTACTCCTTAAATAGAATAACCAACCAGTATAAGAAATCAGGTGAGGGTTATTTATCCTAGGAATTACTGAAGACAAATGCAGCATCCTGTACACATATAGCTTCCACTTTCAGTTAAGAATCCAGGATATGAACCTGGAAACTCCAGGTTCTGCATGGGTTGAACAACCCAGATTTAACCCAACAACAAGCACAAGTAGGTTTGTAAGAGCAACTGTCATCAAAATTTTTAAATCCTTTGACTGCGTATACAATCATTCAGCTTACTAGAAGTGGGGAAATCATTTTGATTTCTTGTAGCAAAATGTAAAATATAAATATAAAATACAAAAAATACACTAAAAGCATATGAAACCTACAATACTAGGAGTCACCAAAGATCAGAAGATACGCTGGTATAATCCAAGTAGTTCAAAAGATTCAAGGTCTGGTATGATCTAGTTATTTGAAATGGGCAGTATAGACACCATTTGCATAACAGGATGTCAGTGCTTTGTAAAGAACTGGAAACGTTAGTTTCTGGAATGGGACAGGTTGGCAATGCTCATCGAGGAGACCTCTGGTGACTTGACCTGGTCCAGAAATTAGCAATGCCACTCATTTCCAGGGCTCCTCTATGAAGTGCTGGCTCCCTGCTATGTTGACAGTGGATCCCACTGGGGCAAGGGAATGAGCAGAAGCACAGCAGCAGTGTAGGATAGTGTCCAGTAGGACTACTCTGTACATGTAACTGGTCGATTTATTGACTGATTTTTCTACCATATCCTGCCCTTCGACAAAAACAGGAAAAAGTTGTCATGCATAAATCAAGCAAAATCCTATTATGTTGCCATGTGTGAGGGCATGAAACCAAGAGGGCATGGGAAATGCCAAGAAAGCAGATATTAATAATGCAAGAGTGTGTACTCAGAAGTGTGTACTTTGTGTGTGCACAAAGGAAGCTCTGCCAGGTATTGCAATGGAAAATTAAGTTGGTCCTACCATAGCCATCCAGGCTGACATGCAAAACGAATTCTTCCGTGACCTCTAACAGGATGATCAATTACACTTTGCACATGTAAATATAGACATTAATGCTCTGTATTGTCTTCTCCAACATTTCCACGTTCATAGTGATGTTCTTGAGGAAGTTTCATCTCAGTGGGTTACTATGTCTACCCGGAAAGGACAGAGCAATCTGTCCTTACATATGAAGGACAGGGACAGCTTCAGATTTAAATGAATAAATATCCAGTCCCTAAGTATGTTGCCTTGGAACTAAATTCCATTTGTACCTAATGGGACTTGTGTCAAAGTGCAGGTGTATTTTTCTGTGCTGCACCAGAGATTAGCAGCTGAAAGCAAGATCTCCTTATATGCAAAGCAGCTGTACCAGGCAGGAAGGTCTGAGAGATACTGCCCTGGTAGGAGGTCATCCATCTGAGAAGGTTTGTGGCTGAATCAGGATTATGATTTGAGACACTGAGTGAATATAAACTCCATGCACCAGCTGGCAATTAACCAAACATAAAGTGCAGAGAGGGATATTTGGTATCCTGCTATTTTGCGCCGCCTTCTCACTCTGCTCACTGCCTATAAGGATGCTTCATGGTCATTTTCAGTCAGATGCTTAAATCCACAAAAGGAAAACATGACTCTAAAAATTGTTGGTTTATTATTGTTCTGTCTTTCAGCAAGCTCTTGGCTGTGATATTATATTGCAGTCATGGCGCCTAAGAAGAAGAATGTCAAAAAGAGCAAGGCGGATATCAACGAGCTGACCATCATAGTGGAGGATGGGCCCCTCAGCAAGCTGAATGGTCTGAATGGCCTTTTGGAAGGAGGGAATGGCTTCAGCTGCGTCTCAACCGAAGTTTCTGACGCTCTCTATAGTCCCAATCTGCTGGAAGGGCTGTGCAGAATGAGGCTGGAAAACTTCCTCTGCGATCTAGTTATTGGCACCAAAACCAAGTCCTTTGACGTCCACAAGGTGGTGTTGGCTTCATGCAGTGATTACTTCCATAACATCTTGAAGAAGGATCCATCTACACAAAGAGTGGACCTCAACGATGTCTCTCCCCTGGGCCTAGCTACTGTCATTGCATATGCGTACACTGGGAAGCTCACACTCTCACTGTACACCATAGGGAGCGTCATCTCCACAGCCATTTATCTTCAGATCCGTACCCTTGTGAAGATGTGCAGTGACTTTCTGATGCAAGAAATTAACGTGGAAAATTATATGTACATTGCCAACATTGCAGAGACCTATGGACTAAAGAATGCCAAGGAAGCAGCACAGAAATTCATTAGAGACAACTTCATTGAGTTTTCTGAATCGGATCAGTTCTTAAAACTTACCTTTGACAGGATCCATGAACTACTTGCAGATGACGATTTGCAGTTGCCTTCTGAACTTGTTGCATTCCAGATTGCAATGAGATGGCTGGAATTTGACCAAAAAAGAGCAAAATACGCTGCTGATCTTTTGAGCAACATTCGGTTTGGTACCATCTCAGCCCAAGACTTGGTGAATTATGTTCAGACAGTACCAAGAATGATGCAAGATTCAGATTGCCATAGACTTCTGGTGGATGCCATGAATTACCACTTACTTCCCTACCACCAGAATACCTTGCAGTCTAGGAGAACGAGGATACGTGGAGGGTTGCGAGTCCTTGTTACAGTTGGGGGACGCCCTGCTTTAACTGAGAAATCCCTTAGTCGAGACATTTTATACAGAGATCCTGACAATGGGTGGAAGAGACTCACCGAGATGCCAGCTAAGAGCTTCAACCAATGTGTCACTGTGATGGATGGATTCCTTTATGTGGCAGGAGGTGAAGACCAGAATGATGCCAGAAATCAGGCTAAGCACGCAGTCAGCAATTTTTGCAGGTAACCGAATATTTATAAGAAGGGAAAGGCAGCATGTTCTGGACAGAACAGCTCCAGAGGGAGAAAGGGAAAGAGAGCCAGGGAGATGTAACTGCAGTAATTCACAAAGCAGAAGAGGAAAACATCATCATCATTGAATTACTGATATTTATATACCACTTTATTTTCTAAAAAGCCACCAAGATGGTATATAGTAGTTTAAAATAATACGCTCTGAAATAAAAATTAAGAATGTTAACATCATTAAAACATTAGACTATTAAAACAAGTATATAATTAATGATTTATGAAGAGCTTCTTATATAAATACCTGTAGCTAATAAAATGCCATCCAAACCATGCAACAAGGGAATACCTGTAAATGGGCAATTTTTTAAAGAAGAAAAATCAGTCAAATAAGTATCTGTTTGAAGGCAGTAGCTGGACACCACCCATTCACATAGAGTTGTAAGGTCCTTCGTATTGTAGGAGATGCGTTTCATCCATCTGGTGTTGTAGTATCAGACCTTTAGCTGTCAAAAGAACATCCATTTATGCTGAACATTCATTAATTTCCAAGCATCAGCTAAATAATTTAAAGAGCATGTTGTTAAATTCTTCCTAGTTGTGATGCATGGCTGTGGGTGCGATAGCAAACCATGGTTTGTTAGCCATGAGCAACCCAGAAAGAGAAGCCTCAGGTTTTTTTTTGCTGTGTTGTGGATGCAGGGTTGCTTTAATCATGGTTGGTTACTATGTGTGAATTCAGAACTGTGGATTATTCATGGGTTGTTTCGTCAAGCTACAGATGCAGCAGGCAGGAGTAATAAAAATCAACATCTCCCCCGCCCCCCCGAACAGGTGCTTATATATGCCAATATTAGTTCACCGCAAAGGCATTTGAGTTACAAAAAAGGCAGTGTCCAAAAAAAGAAGGAAATAAACAACCTATGGAATAAGAAAACCATGTGTTCTTTATTCATCTACTAGTCAAACCTTGAGTAGGGCAATAAACCATGAGTTAAAATAATCATGGCTTAGCAGTGTGTGACTCAGGCCTGTATTTTATCCAGTCTGGTTTCTTGGATAGGGTTTTATGTAGAAAGAACGACCATTTGGTCTATTGTGCTGCTTCCAAAAACATCTATTGACTGCATTCAGAAGAGACACACATCTCCAATAGCTGATTTTCCATAGGCCTTGATAAGGCACGATGCTAAACATGTCATGAATACCCATGTCTGTCTTTTAAAAACAATGAATGTATAGCAGGCATGGGATGGGAGGGGCATCTTTTTTGTTGGGACAAAAAGGTTTAGTCATTTCCTCCTGAACCATAATCCTGGCAAAAATCCCATATACACTGACATACTCAGGTTATTGAGCCTAGAATGAAACCTCCTAATGACATCAGTGGGTATTAGTGATAAATCCTGAGTTAACTTTACAGCATCCTTCCCAAACCTGACAATCTCCGGATGTCTTGGATTAAACTCCCAACATTCTAACTGGGGTGATGGAAATTATGGTCCAACACAACTGGAGAGTAGTGTGTTTGGGGACAGCTCTACAGGTTTTGGCCCCTAATGTCTTTTCTTCCTATGTTTTCCTTAGGAAATCAGCTTACAACTGTGGCTGGGTTCACATCACAACCAGCAAGCTGCATGGTTTCTTGCCTGGATGTCCCTGGCAGACATTCCAAGGGTTTCTGTGCTAGCGTGGTTTCCACCCTCCTTGCTCAGTCCTCCCTCTGTTGGCCATCAACCCATCATGCCTGAAAGTCAATCCTGCACTGGATGGCTGGAGCAGTTCCCACAGCTGCTGCTCTTTACAGGGGCCCGTGTGTTAGCTGCACACCAGGACTGTGGAAACCATGAGACTGGGTTTGGATGTCCCGGGAAACTCCGGTGAAGCATGGAAACGATCAAACAGACTATTGTTGCTTATCGTGGTTTCTTAAAACCAAACGTACCCTGCTGAAATATCATGACAGGGTTCTGACAACTCAGCAGACCATCCTGTACAACAAGCCACCGTGTCTTGTTGTGTCATGCAGACCTGTATTTAGAGTTGGAGAGAAAAACGTACATCAATTGTTATGACAAGCTATTATTGCTGTGGCCTTCTCCCATCTTTTTTCATTATGAAAAGTGTATCGACTGCTTACCATAAGAGCAGATGGATCGGCTATGGGCCAAACTAGTTGTGACAGCAAGAATCTCCTTAATCTCCTTAATTCTTGTGACAGAAAGAATTAAGATCTCTTGTTGATTTTGTTTTGCTCATTGATGCTGCTTTGAAGGGTGTTAAATCCCTTGCCTTTACCTGCCAATGCAACTAGGGATGTGTGAGGAATCCATGTTGAGATCGGAATCTGCCAGGTTTCCTGAGCTCAGCTCCCTGGACTCCCATGTCCACCTTGATGTGGACCTGAATCCCAGTTCCTGGCAGGCCTGCCCGACATCTGTGTGGCACCCGTGGGGAATCACGCTCCCTCCACTGTGCAAAGAGCATCCTTTCTTTGTGTGTGGCTCTCATGGGGCTCACCAGGAATGGAGCCCCATGAAAATGGGGCACAAGCAGTGTCCCTTTGTCCCATGAGCATTTGCAGACTTCCTCAGCTGGGCTTGTTTTCTGAGACCAGGCTGAGCATGAGAGGAAGTTACCAAATGCTAGAGGGCCAGATTCTGTGGAGCTTTGATGCACCCCTAAATGCCACACTACCTCCTTTGGGTTATTAGTAGTTCTGAGGCAGTGGTGGCAGCCAGGGAGAGACAGCATCTGTACTGGAGTTACAAGACAGGGCATCTCGGGCTCAAATCGCACATCCCCCATGCAGGTAACCATAGCTGAGTTGATGACTCTTAGCCTCACCCATAGTGCATTTCAACTATTGAATCACAGTGGCTGGCTGTGTGAGCTTGCCTCTGCCCTCAACTCATTTCTGGGCCTTAGGGAAGCATTTCTGGGCCTTGGAATGACTGGACATTTCAAACGTTCATGCTGTTAAGCATGCCCAAAAGTTGATGAGAATTTCAGGACTGGAGTTCAGTTTCCTACTGATGAGAGGGCACTGGAATTTCAGGATTCCTTTGTGATATCTGTTTTGTTTAGAAATACACTAGCAGATTATAATGGATGTTCTCTTCTATGAAAAGTCAGTAAGGGTGCAATTTTATGTGGGCAGAACAGAGAAAAAGTCATACGAGTCCTATATTCCCCAGCAAGCTAACTGAGGAATGCTGGGAACTGTAGGACTCTTTTATGTTAAACTTTTCAGTTTAAACTTTTCAGTAGGACTCTTTCTGCTTAAACTTTCATAGGATTGCACCTTAGACTCCTAAAATAGGATTGTGTAGGATTGCACTCATCAGATTCCCCAAAGCAATAGAACACAGCCACTTCAACAGGGTGATTCCTTCCTTGCTTTCTATCTCCTTTTATTTATATTTATTAAATTTTTAGCCTACTTTTTCTTTTCTTTCAAGGAGCTCAGAGTGGCTCCATCCCTGCATACTTGCTGAAAATCGTCACCCTCCAGAGGCAGAAGAGAGAGAGGGTGGGGGGCACCAAAGCCCCTTCATCTTTGCTTGTTAAGGCCTCAGCTGCCAATGCATTGCCAGACTATAGACCTTTGCCAGGCAAAGCCATAAAATCACATTTTAATCCGACTGGCCATCACTTAAAACAGGTTGCTGTGATAGAAGGACCTTCGGTCGCACCCAGCACTTCTTATGTTTTTCTCACTTCCTGTATTAAGTACATACCGTGGGGCGCAGGGTGGGGTAGTGGTGAGCATGTGGGACCAGGATGCAGGAGACCCAGGAGCTACTCAGTCATGGAGTTCACTGGGTGACTTTTGGTTACTCACTGACTCTCAGCCTATCCTTCCTAACAGGGTTCCTGTGAAAATGAAATGGAGAGGAGGATGGCTGTGAGAGTCACCTTGCTTTCCTTGCAGGAGGAAAACAGGTGGAATAGAAATTTAATGATAAACCAAATGCAACCATTGAATTACAGACATCACTGAATCAGATAGTCAGTTATTTTGCACACTGAGCACTCCAGAGGGAGGGATAGTCACCTTAGTCTGCTGCAGATAAAATAGCAGTCCTGCGGTACTTGCCCAGAATAAGGGCACGGCCCTATGTGGCTTGCTTGGGAAGGCAGGCCTTTCTTCTGTCCTGCTGACGTAGGATTACAGACTTAATTTCAGCATAAGCTTTTTGTGGACTGGAGTGCACAGCAAATGATAAAAATCAGATTGGTCAATTTGTAATTGGAAGATTCTCATTGCCCAGTTCTGAGCGTTTGTGGTATCATATTTGTCCATCGTCGTTTTAACCTTATACTTCCTTCTTTGCCTTCCTTAGGATTATGACCAGTATAGGATATTTTTGGACTGTGGTGAAGGCCTGGTAGAAATAGGACTCAAGAAGTCAGCCTTGTTTACATTGCTGAGATACCTGCTAGCTCCAGTGGCCACAAAAATGAGCTTTCAAATGCCAATTCTGAAATCGTCATCCATCAAAGCCACTGGAAATGCTCACTTCCATTTTGGTGTTATCTAGGCCACACTTCACATTATACAGGGAACATACCAAGGAAGCCAGAACTTGTTACTTCACAAGGGCCATGTTTAAATATTTCCAGTGCTGCATTTTAGGACATATGTTTTTAGCCGTATTTACATATACTAAGAGAAAAAGCCTCTCCTTTTATTCCCCCCCTTTACATATGTATAATGTATATGGAGATGTTCATTTTGTCTAAACATTGCGCAGCAACTTGGTATTTTTAACAATCAACAAACAATTTCTGGGAAGTAGCATCCAGTCTCAAAGGAAATCAATTGACCAGGCATGGTCAGATTACATTAACTGGCAATTCAGTTTGATTCTATTAGTAAGCTGGCAATTAATTTTTCACATGCCTCTTCTATATCCAAAAGAGTGGATACAGTACACATCCTAGACACAGGTTCTGTCCAGTTCTGTTAATGAATTACTGAAATATAATTTTAAAAAATAAGTAGTGAAGTACATAATATGCAGATCGTATGAAATTACATATTATTAAATGTATGGTTTTATAAATACAAATCTCTTGCCAAGGAAAGTGGAAATTTTCCAATGAGCCCAGCTCTGTAGTTGTGTGTAACCTATCTGACGGCTCTTGCTCCACATAAACAGGAATTTTGAGCTATTAGTATTAGTATCAAAAGACAGACAATTGCCTTCTAATTTGTGTTCATTGACAGAACTGCGGCCTGCATAGTGTCCATATTTATTTCCCTTTCCTGGGTATTTTGGTTCTAACCTTTCCCACTGATTTTCATATATCCATGCCGACCATCAGAGTTGTGCTAGCCAGTTGAAATAACTACCCTCAGGGTGTTCTTCATGAGGTATTTATTGACCACAGCTGTTTGTCACTTATTGTCTACTTAACCAAGGCTGCTTCTTCCAAAAGGATTTGAGGGTCTTTCACATGAAAGTTCTTTTTTCCTGGGGGAATTTCTTCTCTGCCTTTCTATATGTCCTTCTATGTTCCCTTACATAACACAAGATGGAGCTGTGGTATAGAGAGAAACTGAGGATTTAGGCAAGGCCTATGTAGATAATAACAGCTCCATCCAGGAAAAATACTCCATTTCCTCACTCTAAAAAAATGCTGTAAAAATGGCTGGAAAACAGGTGGTAGGCACTGGAGAAAGACAACATCATTAAAAGGACCCACAACCTTCTGTGAGTAAAGAATCACGAGGGCACAATAAATGCCTCAGACAGAGAAGATCTTAGAGAAATACAGACCATTGCAATGAGGTGTGACAAAGGAAGTTCTGTTTTCTTCAAAGGTAACAGTACTGGGTCCTATGTACATGTGGCTGAATCTAACTGGGGCTACAGTACTGGCGAAGGAAGGATCCATTCCTTGGATTCTACTTTAGGAATACATTTATTACATTCCCTTGCCCTATAGCTGCTCTTTGCACCAGATAATGCAACTAATTTAAGTAATGGCCAGTCTTTGGAAAAACAGATAATGTGGATCAAAAGAGAACTTTTAGAGGGACGAAACTGGGAAGATGACACAGGGAGGGAAGGAGTTGGGGAGGTCTCCCTGCTAGCGCTGGGGCCTTGATTTGATCCAAAAGTGGGTGGTGCTGCCTTCATTTTTGGAAAAAGCCATAATCCAATCAAGACAGTGCATCTAGTTCAGCACTTTCAAAAAGGATCACTCTTGACAATATACAGTGGCCTTGGCTGTTAAGAGGTGTAGCCAGCAGAGAGCAGGAGGAACGCAAGCTTGTAAGTAAAGTCAGTGTTTTGGTTGCATCAATAATCCCCTTTTTACCACTCGTGTTCTTTCAGGTACGATCCTCGCTTCAACACGTGGATTCACCTGGCCAACATGAATCAAAAGCGCACTCATTTCAGTCTGAATGTATTCAATGGCCTCCTTTATGCTGTTGGCGGCCGCAATTCTGACGGGTGTCTCTCTTCAGTCGAATGTTATGTCCCTGCAATTAATCAGTGGCAAATGAAGGCACCGCTGGAGGTGGCTAGGTGCTGCCACGCTAGTGCCGTCATTGATGGTAGGATCCTGGTCACAGGAGGCTATATAAACAATGCTTATTCCCGCTCTGTCTGCATGTATGACCCTGCTAGCGACAGCTGGCAAGACAAGCCCAGCCTAAGCACTCCGAGGGGCTGGCACTGCGCCATTTCCCTGGGGGAAAAGGTCTACGTCATGGGGGGGTCTCAGCTGGGAGGTCGGGGTGAAAGAGTCGATGTGCTTCCCGTTGAGTGCTACACCCCTTATCCCGGCCAGTGGAATTACGTTGCTCCTCTCCCAACGGGTGTGAGCACCGCAGGCGCTTCCATCCTTAATGGGAAAATGTACTTAGTGGGAGGCTGGAATGAAATAGAGAAGAAATACAAGAAGTGTATTCAGTGCTACAACCCCGACCTGAATGAATGGACCGATGAGGATGAGTTACCTGAAGCCACCGTAGGCGTGTCGTGCTGCACCATCGCCATGCCCAACAATAAGACCAGGGAATCCAGGGCTAGCTCCGTATCCTCAGTGCCGGTCAGCATTTAAGGGCGCAGTCCTATGCATGTTTAGGCAGAAAAACGCCCTACAAGTCCCAGCATTCCCCACCCAGCCATTTCTTTCTAAACATGCATAGGATCGTGTCCTAACTATTTAAAAATGTAAGTTTAAAAGAGCTAGGTTCAATTTTTTTTTAAAAAAAGTTTACTTTAGACAACCACATTATAATCCCCGTAAAAAGCCATGTGTACCTACAGGGGGGGATTGTGGGAGATGGGGAACATTTACATGCCAGTGGCTTTAAAATCCAGTTTTGCAAAATTGGCCAATTTTTAAGATATAGCAAATACATGGTATGACCCAAGACACTTTAAAAGTAGTATATTTGTTTAGCACAAAACAGAGGCCTTCAGTTTGTCCCCAGACTTTGAGTATTGAGATTTTGTTGTTGTTGTTCCTAACAATTTATGGCCTTTTAAATTCTCCAATATGATAGAAATGGTTTAAAAAACCCCCAAACCCTCACTTCTTCCCTGCTACTTCTAAACAGATCATCCTGTTTTTAAAAGTTTCATGTCCTGCATAAAATCATGAAGTAAATATTGGATGGATTAATATTTCTATAGATCAAGAAATTACATTAAAATAAAATGATGCATTTTTGGTGCCCTGCAGTGGTATTGTGGTGGATCACACTGCACATAATTCAAGAACATTTTCCTATATTAATTGGAATTTATCTTATTTTGCCATTTGATGTAATTTAACTCTTCATGGCAGCTAAGATCAATAGATTCTGAATCCCACTGTGTATATTTGGATCTTGAGCATTTTTTAATCTTGAATTACTCTCAAGGTCTATTCCACAAGTTGCATTGATTTTGACATTCAGCAGACAGACAAATAGATTTTAGACATGCCACATAGAACTATCCATTTGAGATTCTCTTTTGCAATGCATGGAGAGCTATCAAACCCTTTACAAGTCAGAGCACCGCAAGCATACTTGTTCCTTTTATATATCCCTGAAGCTTCACACTTGACTTCTTTCCTGCTGCAGTTTCCACACACAAGACAGAAAATACTGTCAATAAAAAGTTCATAATATCATTTAAAGCATTTCCAGGCACTGGAGGAAAACAATGTTATGAAAAGGCCCAGGGAAGTCTATAAGGGATCACAAGTGCACAAAATTTTGTGAGTACTACCCAAGATCAGCAACCCATGACTCTGGATTGTACTCTGTATATGCAACCTTAAGAATGCTCAGAAGGAAGTTCCATTCAAGTTAATGGAGCATATTTCTAAGTAGATATATATAGAATCACAGCCTAAGTTCTCATTTAAATTCATCTTGATCATACCATGTAGATTTGTAGAAACCCTACAAAATGAATGTAGCATTTTCCTAAATTTCCTAAATTCATTTGGCCTATAACAAAAATGGTCTCTACACTACCATTTTTTCCATTGCCACACGGTACACTGAAATATTACCCTAATGACTCATAATAATAGGTAAGCTGCAATTGGAAACATTTTTTGGTCCAATAAATAGTTGAAGTTGAAGTAGTACCATTTAGGGTCGAATGATGAGATTTTTGGGATCCAACACCTTAATGTTAATTTAATAAAGCATTACCACTTGAATTGCTTATATGATGTAGTATTGGAAGACGAAGAATCAGGTGCAATTAGATGAGTCTGGAAAGCCGTTTTTGTGTCATTTATATACTTGAATGGCCCCGTCAGTGTCACTCAGTCATACATCAAAGCAATATTGTAACGCTAGAAATCACTTCTGTTTCTTCACAATCTGCATGAGAAAACGACCCAATTCGTGTGGGTTTTGTACGTGTGTGTGCGTGCGTGTGTGCGTGTGCGCATGTGTGAGTGAAGGTAAATCATAGACCAGAAGCCTGCTTGCTTTTGGGCCAATGCAAATACCCCACCAAGCTTAAGTATTGCAGAGCCACACAGCCTGGTGTGTTTAAAATAGGGGCAGTGGGAATGTATGCTGCAGGTTCCCAGTGGGCCTTGTAATGCCTGCCAGTTGCAGGAGTTCTGGCAAAGAATCCTGGGTCTGATCCAGCATGGCACCTTCAAAGCAAGAGTTAAGTCGACTCAGTGTGGAGAGCTGCCAAGGCCCCATCAGTGCTGACGCCGCTGCAAGGGTCCCCCTTTTCCGGTGTCTTGGTAAGTGTTTGACACCACTACTGCAATTGCCCTACAGTGTGTGGGAGTTGTCATGGGGGGATCTGGAACCTTTCAAAAGGTTTATTGTAACATTGATCTTCTTTTAACACTCTTGGCAATAGTATTTGCTATTGGTAATCACGGGTTTCTGGAAGTCACAATCCAACAACATCTGGAGGGCCACCTGTTTCCCCGGCCTCACGGGGCATTGTGGGCAATTACAATGTCACCTGCTTTGCGCTACTTAGCCAAATACCACCAACATGCGCCTCCTGCATATTTCCACATCTAGACAGTAGGCAGATGGGAGAGCTGCATGCGAACATGGTGGCTGCCTCCACACATGGGGAGCCCACTGGGGGACTGGGCCCTGGCAGGAGGATGCATTAGGGATCACACAGAGATCCTCAGCAGGTACACTTCCTCATGATTGGTGGAGTACAGGGATTCCAGTAAGGGGGAGAGGGAGCGGAGCATTTAAGTCTGCTGCTGATCTCAATGGGGTATATATACATAGAGCCTCAGCACACAATCCCCATCTTGAGGGGCAGTGTCTGTACCTGCTTTAAAAAAAATCACACATACGTGGGGTGTGCCTTTGATTCCCCCTCTTACTATTCCACCGAGGAGAGTGAGGGAGAGATGTGTTGTTGGTACCTGCCATATTCGGTTTCCTCAGCTTTCCCGAAGAGATGTGTGCAGGCTTTCCATCTGTAAAGGATTTTGAAGAGAGGGGAAGGGAACAGAAGCCGAATTGTGCCTTGGAGCCTTGTGTGTAGTGAGGCCAGAGGGTCATCACCGTCTCTCGTCACTGCACAGCTTACCATCCAGTTCCGAGTGCTGTGAAACATGCGGCTAAGCTTCTCCGTGTGCAGCTTCGCCGTTCCAGTACTGGCATGCAGCAGAGCTGCCCCAGCTAGTCACGCAGACTTTGGAGGCGGGGCCTTGCAGGAAAGATAGAAGGAGAAGTTTTGCAGAACCGGCCAAGCCCCGTTCGTTGGGAAGCCATTGCAGAGAGTGGGACCTGGGAAAAGAGTGCACTCATGGCCGCTTCTGTGGACCACCATCCCTTGTGTCCATTTTTAAATTTATTAGGATTCTGGCTTTTCCTGAGGTGTTCCTGAGTGATGAGATGCGGTTATTATGTATGAAAGGAATGAAATCAGGGATAATTCTGGGCTAGCCTGGCTCAAAGATTATGAAATTCAGAACAGATAGAAGTACTTCTTCCTGCAACGCATCATGGATTGATGGCATGCATTGCCACAGGATGATGTTCCTGGCTTTGAAAAGGGATGGGCTGGATCTCTGGATCATGGAGGGTGGATCTCTCAATGGCTGTTAGCTATGGAGGCTATATGGAGCTTCCAGCTTCAGGGGCAGCATACCAGTTGCTTATCAGCCTCAGTGGTATGCAGGACTATTGTTTTCAAGTCCTTCTTGTGGGCGTTCAAGGAGCATGCTGTGCTCAGCAGGGTGCCGGACCATTGCTCTGATCCAGCAGGGCTCTTTGGGGGTAATTAGGTAATTTTTTTAGCTAGTAATTGGGGCTTTAAAGCTCTGAAGCCACTGAACAGGCACAGGAGACGTCCAGAGGAAGGGCTGCTACAGCCATTGCTAAGAAACCAGGGCGCTGCCATCTTGTCTTTTCCTTCTCAGTGGGTTTTTGGCATGAAGAAAAAAGATAGAAAATGTGGGAATACATGAAAAACACCTCACCTGGAAGCACCCCGATGCACACTTTTAGAACACAATCAGTGACAACATTTTGGAATATCACACTGAAAACCCATTGAACTGTTAGGGGTGACTACAGAAGTGGTGAGACTGAAGGCACTTTCTGCACAGATAACTGCAATTTGAGTAGCCCCATCCATTTCAACAGTGATACTCACTGGTTAGAATAACGGCTTGTGCCACAGTGAATCACTTCCAATTGTTCAACCTCCCATAGATCCACAAACTCCAGAGTCAAGACACTGGAGTTAACTATACGTACTTTTCCCAGTTAGATCAGCTGAGACTAGGAAACCAAGCAAGACTGTAATGCTATTGCCAAGAGTTACCACCTTTTATATGGAACCTGTCCTAGTCCTGTTAAGGCAAGCCTGACATGCAGAAATTGGGTGGTTTAAGCTTTTTCAGGCATAGATAAGTGGGAAGTAGAGAAAATCCCCCAGGCTGATTTCTTTGGGCCAGGCAATAGTGAAAGGCAGAGAAGTTGGACTAGTAAAGAAACGAGTGACCCTGAGCCACAGAAAGGACGCCTACAACATGTTGACAGATTGAAAGGCGGTAAAAAATGCTAATGATAAACAGATGTTAATCACAAGACAGTGTATATTGTTTGCACTTTTCTATCCAAAAGATCTTGAAAGAATAAGGGTAAGTGGATGTCAGATGAGATGTCTGGATAGTACATGTTGTATGATAAAAGAGAAAGGCTACTGTCACTGGAAATTAAAGATTATGCTAATAAAAGTACTGATGATTCACTGATTTACAATGTGGTAGATTGTAAGTAATGAATGTGAATGCGGAAAGCATATCATTTGGTGTAAATTTGCTTTTTACATTGTAGATATAAAACTCAGAAATGGAAATTACTGTATCGAGCAATTTCTCATAGTGTGATGTCTATAAATACACTGTACAGAGATGGGCATCTTTTAAAATCACAAACCCACACCTTTTGGCCTAGTAGGCAATAGCTACAATCCTTACAGGAATTTAATAAGATTTTTATTACTGCAAAATAGGAAGTGCCATAGCAGAACAAATGCTGACAGAAAATGTATTTTTACCACAACACTACGAGGTATTTCCTTGTGAACCTTCAAATATTTTTTTATTTTAAAAAATCCTGGGAAGTCAATTTAATACCACATGAAGGCTGTCTCCAGAGAAGTATTAAAAGCAATCTAGTATCAAAGCTGTTTCCCCTTTTAATTTCTTCCTATCTTACAGTTGAAATATTTATTTCATACCTTGAATCTATACATATAGCATAGCAGTATGGACTTGCCATCAAGTCCTTAATTTTCTCAGTACTGCCATTATCATGTGCAACTCATTTGTTGTTGTTGTTGTTTTTCCAGGGTTTTCAGGTACATTGAAAGACTTGCATAAGGCTAGGAGTAATTGCCACTGAATCCAGTGAGACTTCCTTTTGAGTAGACGTGAACAAGATTGCCCTGTGACATTATACTTATTTTTCTCTGCAGCACGCAAAGAAAATATTTAGCAGCCAAGAAAATGTCAAATGGCAATGCGTATCTTTTTTTTTTACCTCTAAACCTTAAGTAAACCCTTTAAACCCTAAACCCCTTAGCTAACATTCTTTGTCATGCCTAACAAATTAGCATGACTGACTTAAGACCTACTGATCAGAATGAAACAACTTGCCAATAACAGCACAATCAGGGTTCTTCAAAAGTAAGCCTCAGCAACCTTAATGAGATTTACTCACTAGTAAGTATATTTAGAAATGCAATCCTGGTCATGCTTTTTGACTTTTGCATACTTTAGGACTTCTGAAATGTCTGACACAAGTCCTTTCTAAGCAATTTAGTGCCAAACCCAATCTTGCATCTCCTTTCCCCTTCCTTCCAATGATTTCAAGGATATGCCTACTTTTGAGTTATGTTCAGGATTGCAATCCCAGGCCTTTCCAACAGGCAGGGCTTATCAAGTCTCAAACCATATGGATATTTTCCTGTGTAAATCTTCACCGGAACAAAAGGCAGATTAGAGCACTTCTGGTAAGGGCAGCTTAATCCGGTAGCAGCAGAACTACAAAATGATGGGATTTATCATGCTATCACCCTGCATCATATGTGGGACAGTCCAGGTCACAAGCTCTTTTGGTCATGATCCCCACCCATCTTTTCTTACCACTTACTCCATCCTTTTCTGGATCACAGAAAGCATGTTAAAGAGAAAAAGTTGGAACCGCTGTACAACATCTTTTGCCGGTTACCATTAGAAGCCCAGCCTCTTAGTGATATCCATCCAGTTTAGTGCAAAGCTAAGGACCAATCATTTGGGAAGCTGCTACCTTAACACAGCTTAACAGCTTGATACTAAGCATAATTTTTGAGTCCCACAGCTTTAATGGGACTTACTTTCCAGTAACATATTTACTAGGAAATAAGCTCCTTTGAATTCAATGGAACCTTTAAGTAAAACAGGACAATGTTATAAAACCTAGACTCCAAGAAAGCTTCTTTGTAACACTTGTTCCCTGTCAGTAGGTATTCAGTAGGATTAATATTCCAGCCCATATACTATTATAAGCCCAGCTCATTCATGCTAAATTTTCCAGTTGGGCAAAAGGACATTTAAACCTTATAATTTGGCCCTTGGTTTTTGTTTTTACTTAAACAGCATGGGAAATCAAAGGTGGAGAAAGTCAAGGGCCATGCTCTGTTGGTGGAAAGAGCCAAAGGTAGGGATGCTCCATTCATACCTAGGCATATACACTCCTTCCACACCTATTTATCGTTCCCCCACTTTCTATGTTCATATATCTCCCCTTCCCCCATCAACCTCTCACCTCCCCACATTGCGCGCCCCCACACATGACCTCTCTTCCCTCAGTCTTGAGAGGTATCAACATATGTGCTGCAGGCCCCTGAACATTTCTTTCTGATGAAGCAATGAGGCACAGGAGGGAAAGGTTTATTCCAGTAACTAGCTCTTTGTTTCCCCTCCTCCTCCTCCTCCTTTTAAAGCCTAATTGCTGTGCCAGGAAGTGGTTTTTCAAGTTGGCAGAACATGAGGACGAGTGAGGGCAGGATTAACCCTTCCTGGTGACGCTGCCTCATGCAGCCCACCTCTTTGCACATGGCAGGTGTGCTTAGGGGGGCCTTTCCCCCAAGCCCAGTGGCCACTCAGGGAGGCAGCAAGGCTCAGAGACTGCCAGCTAGAAGAGCCAAAGGCTCCACAAGCTGGAGGCTGCCGACCTTTGCTGTATATCTCTACCCAGAAGTAGGACCCTTTGAAGCTACTGGGTGTACTGTCGGTTAAATGTATATGGGCTTCCATAGGTTGCAGCATTTGAAAAAAAAAACCCTCCTTTTCTGCCATAGTTACTGTGAAAATGACTGGAGGTTTCTCTTTGCATTACCTCTCAATACAAATGGCAGCTACAGGGTGCAGTGCCAGGAGTGAGACATACTATCAGTGCTACTTCGATTCCTTTTTGAACATTTAAATTCAAGGCAAGCCTGTGTGTTTCATATGGTTTGGCCCTCGAACAATGGGAAACTTTCCTTGGAAAATGAACAGTCCAAGTAGGTAGCACTCTGAAATGACGTTTCCAAATCCCCAGGTGACATATCCACTCACAAATAATGACTACCATGGGTTGTTTAAACCACGGATATTTCTGATTGCAGAGAAGCAAACGTGTTCACCCTTAACTTGAGCTAAACTCTGCATTGTTCCTCCCTCAGGCACCCAGAGTTCTAGGTTTGAATGCCATGGCAAGTAAGCCAGGAACTGAATTGTTCTGTAAAGCAGAAGCAGTCCAAAGGTGACACACTTGCTTGTTCATTCCCGCACAGTCACAACCAACCCGTGGTTTAGACAACCCATGAGACTCGTGACATGCAAACAGGGTCATTGTCCCAGCTTTATCCCTGTTACCAGAGATTCATATCTTGGGATTAACATCTCTCACTTCAGGCTACTCTACAAGTCACTGAAAAAACAGTGAAAAAACCCTTTCTTTACACAGTGTTAGCATGAGTTACATTTAATTGTTTTTGCCATCACCTTTATAGTCCACTGAGGAGCTCAAGTTATGCATAATTGCTCCCTTCTACTCCTATAATCTCACAACAAACTGTGAGGTAGGTTAGGCTATGACAAAGTTCCGGGCCCAAGGCCACCCGGTGAACTTGGTGGCTGCTGTGGGATTTGAACTCTGGTCTCCCCAACCTCGGCCAGGCACTCTGACCACCTCACCACCCTGACTTTCCAGTGTCTATCTGTGCACATCCTGAATGCCTCATGAAGTGTGTTCCCTCAGAAATAAACTAAACTGGGCTGAATGGAAGTTGCCTTGCTATTAAGATGGTGAAGGATTGGGCTAAATCAGGGATGAGGGACCTTGAGTCCACTGCTGGCCTCCAGGCCTCTTAGACCTGAGCTCAAGACTCACTGTTCTCACACCAGGTTTTTGATATGATTTATCCCAGCCCACTTTGTCCCTCAACTACAAAGCTGATGAAGGAAACTTTGCACAAACTGTAAAAAGGGAATTCCCAAAGGTAGATGTCTTGCTGTTGTTCCACGTGGAACAAAAAAACAGGTCCTGTCTAGTTTCACCCACTTTTGACTCTGGCCACACCCACTGCTTGAATACCGATGCTGAGATAATGTGCCAACAGACACTCCTAGGCTAAACACTGAATAGATCCCATGCTACTGGGACCAGTGGCAGGCCCTCAGCCCAGCCTACCTCACAGGGCCGTGGTTGTGAGGATGAAAAGGAGATTTGTGAGCCAACTTGGGTTCTTCACAAGAGGAAAAACGGTGAGATAGGAATGCAGTGACGATGATTTTGCACGAGGAACCAAGTAAGGAAGCCCCACAAAGGGCTTCATGCTGAGTCTTTGGCTCAGCACAACTCCTCTTCTTCCACACACCGATGCTGCAAAGGCATACTCTTGTTGGAACTGCAGCTTGGCCCGTGGGCAGGATCTCCATCCCTCAATCCCAGCTCCTTCTGCAGAGTCTCTCCTGCTGCTGGCTGGGCTGAGGAGTTTGCCCCGCTGCACACGAACCTGTGGAAACCGCTTCAGCAGGGTGACACATGCACAGCACCCAGCTGGATGGGCAGACAAATTTGCCTCCACTCCCGCTGAGGTCCCTGCTATGCCTGAAGGCAGAAGGCCCCCTCAGAGAGTGCAGAGCCGGGGCCTCAGGGCGTGCAGATCTTGCCCACAACACCTTGCTCCTGCCGCCCAAGGCAACTGCTTCACCCATCCCAGGGCAGGGCCAGCCTTGACTAGGCTTTTTCTTTGAGAAGTACCGTAAGAGTGTCCCAAGCCTTACCAGGAAGTAGGTCCCACTGAAATCTTGTCAGTGAAATACTCCATAGTGGCCAGACCCCAAGAAGTAACAGATCCACTCTAGTCTGCACAGGTCAGACCACACCTGAAGAACTGTCTGGTTCAGAGCACCACAACGTCACATGGAAAGAGCCCTGCTGGTTCCGACCAAGGCTCTATCTAGTCTGGCATGCTGCCCACCAAGTGGCCAGTCAGAGGACCGGGGGAAACCTGGAGGCAGACCATGCCTGTAACAGCCCCTGCCCACCATATTCCCCAGCAACTGGGTACCTAGGCACACTGCCTTTGATGGCGGAGGTAGCACAGAGCCATCGGGACTAGTAGCCATCAGTAGCCTTTTCTGCCATGAATTTGTCCAATCCATTTTGAAGGCAAACGAACTACATCATGTGGAAGTGGACGCCATAGTCTGTGTACTGTGGGACGAAATACCTCATTTTATCTGCTTTACTTCTCCCACCAAGCAGCTTCGTGGGATGATCCTGGGTTCTAGCATTACAAGAGGTGGAGAAGAACCTCTTCCA